AAAAAAAAAAAGAAAGAAAATTCCTTTTCTGCTGGGCATGGTGGTGCTCACCTGTAATCCCAGCATTTGGGAGACTGAGGCAGGCAGACTACAGGAAGGCTGAACTACTTATCAAGACCCTATTTTAAGTCCCCCACAAAGAAAAAAAAGCTCTTTTATTGTTTCCATCGCAAGTAATGAAAGACTCTTGATCAACCTGCATCATCACGTTTTCTTTATTGTTTAAACTGTTTGAAGACTAATTATTAAAGTCAAAGTCAACATATAGCCAGAATTCTCCTACCAAACTGAAAGACTTTCCATCCATAACTGAAGAAACTGAACATACTCCTCCACACAGCCTTGAGGTTAAGAAATGGAGGCAATGTGACAGGGGACATGAAATTTGGGTCTTGGAGCCAGAGAGATTTAGTGCCTCATCTCTTCCTACCACAGTACTATTTCACTTTAGGTAACTCTGAATCTACCTAAACTTTACAAGTGCCTCATTTGTAAAAATATAGTAAAATAATAATAATAACATGACAATACATTAACTTTGATTTTGAAAACATAAAAAAAGGACTCAAGTAAATAACCTTGTACATTTAGTAAGAATTCAGTTGATGTTACATATTTTTTCTAAGCTCCACTTTTTGGAAACAATTGAAAAACCAGCCGGGCATGGTAGCCCATGCCTATAATCCCAGGACTCGGGAGGTTGAGGCAGGAGCATCATTGCAAGTTCGAGACCAGCCTGGGCTACAAAGTGAGCTCAAGGCCAACCTGAACTGCATAGCGAGACCCTGTCTCAAAAAGATAAAAAAAATAAAAAAATAAAAAAATAAATCCCCTCAGACCTGATCGGTTGGGGACTCCAAACTAGGTCAACTAAGCTGGACTAGGGGATGCCAAGAATTAGCTCAAGACCCCTGACCTTAAGGAACTAGGAACCTAGTGTGGGCAAGACAAGTCTGGATGGGTGTGGTGGCCAGACCACCTGACTAGTAATTCTACTACTTGGGAGGCTGAGGCAGGAGGATCACTGTGAGTTTGGGACCAGCCTGGGCTACAAAGTGAGCTCAAGGCCAGCCTGAACTGCACAGTGAGACTCTGTCTCAAAAAGACCAAAAAAAAAAGAGGGCCTGGGATATACCTCAGCAGCACAGTGCCTGCCTAGTGTGCAAAATCATGAGTTTGATTCCCGGTACCCGCCCCCCCAAAAAAGGGGTGGGGAAACAAGCCTGTAACACAAATCGGATTTTGACAATTCTCAAAGAGAAACAAAGAAAGTGGTGTGGTATAAGGAAGAAACAACTCGTTCTGAGGGGACTGGAGGGCTCACAGCATAGCTGGCACTGCAGTTGAACCTAAGACTTGCCTGGAAGGGAGAAGTGGGGAAAGGTAGCATTTCTCAGGTAAAGCATACAGAATGTGCAAGAGGAGACCACAGGACAGACAAGTACCATCAGGAGGCTTTGCTTTCGAGTCACAGAGAACTAACTGGTTATAGCTCACTTTCTCCCTCACTGAGCAGATTGGAGCAAGCCACCCAATCTCTGCATTCTCTTTTGTCCTCTACAAAGTGAAGATGGGAATGTCTACTTCAAAGGGAGGATTAAACGTGATGGTGAATGTGAAGTACGGAGTAGGAGAGTAAAAGCTGGAAAAACTAGCTGCTGGGACTAGGTGTAAGAGTAGTGGGAAACCAAAGGACGGCAGGTAATGCTGAACTGACTGCTTTCAGCCTAAGAAAGTCCTTGCAAGTCAGAAGGTTGCAACCAGCTGCTGAGAACACTACCCACAGAGCTTTCTAACAAGAGGGAAAAGATTAAATATTTGCTTTAGAAAATGAACTCGGGTGTCCAGGAAGGGTAGCGAAAGGAGAGGGCACATGAGAGAGGAGGGTGGACACAATTCAGTCATTTCAATGAGATTAGGAAGCAAGGCATGCACTCTGAAAATCTTTAACGTTAAATCCGAAAGGCTTAACGGATGGCAGCATAGGATGAGGAGGGAAATAAATGAGTAACAGCCCTCTTCTCCAGGTGAATGGTGGTGTCGCTGGCAGAAAAGATGAGGGGCGGGGAGATGAGGAGGGGTCTGGAGTATGCTGATTGCTCTTTTGTGCTTACTTCCACTCCAGTTTGATAAAGTTAAACGTCCTCACCAGTTCTTACTGAAAAAAAGGAGACGTCCTCAAGAACGGATTGAGCGGCTGCGACTCCAAGCTCAATGGCTAGTCCTAGCATTTAGGGCTCTACCCAGGACGAACCCCCGCAAGTCTTTATCTCCTCCCAGGAATCAGAGCTGCAGCTCGCTTGGACTAGATCTTCAACGACTCACAAATGTCGGCTGGGGTGACCTCCCGCGGAACATCGGCAAATCCACTAGAGAGCGAAGTAAGTCAGTTTAGCACCTGTGTTCCTCACCAAAGGAGACAATTAGTGAAAAGGCACCCCGCTGCATCCGAGATCCACAGTACGTGCCCCAAGTTATTTTTATAAACTTTGGCCTGTTTTGATTCGAACCACAGAAGCCAACTCTCCCCACCATCCCCCAAACGGCACGTCGTTCGACAAGGAAAGGAGATCGAGATGACTAAGTGGTGGATGGGGAAGACGAGGAGGAAGGAGAACCGAGCCGCGAATGGGGCCGAGCCCACGCCTTCCTGGAGTTGAAACTTCCCGGCTGTGTGATTCTGCAGTCACGAGAGTTTTCTCGGACTCAGCGCAATTTCAAACGGCCCACCGACACACACACCTAACTCCGGCCGCCGGCCTTCTTCAGGCC